TTTTTTTTTGTTTTTTTTTTTTTTGGCATAGTAGGACAGCTTCCATATCAAGCCGAGCTTGTAATGAGAGCCTTCTTCTGAGAAAGACAGGGGTGTGAATCCTCCAAGCAAAAAAGCACACTGTATTTAAATTCTCCCACTTCTCATCACTTCAAGCTTGCAAAGCCACCACCCTTCTAAATACAAAATAAAGCTCTGCTTGGTTTTCTAAAAGAAAACATATGTGTGTGTCCACTTTCATAAAAAGGTCATTTGGGCTCTGGATCCCAGGAGGACTGAGGTCACTTCTCTGTTCAGGATATGGGATTTTTGGTTTTCTCACCTGAGGTCCCTACTGTTTTTTGTGTGCTGTAAAAGAGTCCGAGAGATTTCAATTACATTTATGAAATTCTTGAGATCGGACACCCAAAAGAGATTTTCTGACACTAATTTTACACTCTTGTCCAATTCTTTTATTAGCTATACCCCTATCTGACTTACAGTGGCCATCACTATACATTAAAATCTATGATCTATTGCAGTCCAAAAGAATGAATCCAGGGCATGTTGGAATTCAGCCTTATGCTATAATATCAAAACCTCACCAGGGCTGGAGATTACATAACTGGGGAAAGCAACCGAAAAATTTCATTAATTCAACAAATATATTTATATTTTTGTCATTGAAAGAATAATTAAATTGATTTAGCAGATCACTAACAATGAATAATGTCTCTGTTACATTTATTTATCTTTTTTCTTAAAATCACGTTAAATCAGCCATAGATTGAAAGGCTTATTGCAGTATACCTTGTTTTGATTGCTATGGATTAACATCCGCACAGTATATCTTACATTAATCCATTTAAAACCTCTGAGATTAAAGTGGGTGGTGCTTCTCCTTCACCTATCTGTCTCTCCTTTTTCTCTCTTCTCCAAGGCGTAATCAAGACTGCTTTACCAGACATGAGCAGAGAAAACAGGGAACAGTATCAAGTCGTCATCCAAGCCAAAGACATGGGAGGCCAGATGGGAGGACTATCAGGGACCACCACCGTGAACATCACACTGACTGATGTCAACAACAATCCGCCTCGCTTCCCTCAGAGTATGGAGCATCTAATAGTTCTGTTGTTTTCCAAAGAACCTCTCTAAAATCACCTGTTTCACTGTCACCATCTGGGATCTTCTTTTTTTCTCCTCTATTTTTAGTATAAATACTGGCCCACTGCTGTGTCTGTTTATGTTGCAGCATTATTAAGGCAAATGAGAATTTATGCCTCCAATTTTTTAATAACAAAATATTTCTTGGAATGATAAACTTCCTTCCCTTTCTTACTGTGCTTACAAGAATGTGAGTTGTAACAATAACCTAGGCTAACTGCAGGGACTTGAAAGCCTTTAGAGGAATTTACTTACAAAATCTAGGGTTCAGTTTTTGGACACACTTGTAGTTCCACATGTTTAGGCAAGCGGATAGCTCAGCAAATTTTCTAACGTACCACCTTGTACAGGCAGAGTTGATCAGGTGGTATGCTCTGCTGGAAGTCTAAGCATTTGGTTTAGATACTTGTAATCTGTGTTCAGCTCTTGAAGTTGAATTTTGATGATCTAGACCAGTTTGACACAACTAGGTTTTTTAAAAATATCTCTGTAGAATAAAAAATGGCAAACAACAGAAAACTGCACAATAGAGAAAGCTTCACAGCATCCTACAGATCCTTTCATCATAGGCCACTGGTTTAAATCCAATCCCAAGCTGTTATAATCAGCATCTGATAACTGTTTGATAGGCTGCGGACAAAAGAAATTTACAGCCTCAGTTCAGTGCCTACTGGAAAAATGTCCACATTATAAACTTTGAATTGCTTGTTGGCACTGATCAGGGACCTGACTGGCTCTCTTTACGGATTCACCAAGGACTGAACAAACTGAGCTGACTTAGAAAACGCTCTCCTGGACTTGAAGAAACTTGAAAAGCACTTCAGTACCATGGCAATAAGTACACTCAGAATAGTATAAACAGGTCAACCTAGAACAGATTTTTAAAAACATTAGAAAACTCTGTCAGTGTGGGAGAAAGGATTCTTGAAATTGTGTATAACTTTTTTTACGTCTATTCATGACAACAGATTGATTTTTAAAAAGAGAGGGGAAGTACTACAGTCCTCATAAAGAAAATATAATTTGAATTGACACTGAGAGTTTACTTGCTGAGAATCACCTTCATATGGCAAACTCAAACAGCAATTTTTAACCAACCTTCCTGTTTGACTTCAGGAGGGGATACTACTTGAACATGTATAGCATGCTATAGCCCGTAATATTTGGGTAAATAGGAATTCTTGAACCTAAATTAGAATGTGGTGTAGCACATTGCATTGTAAGCTCTGCTGCTGAATTAAATTAAACTAAATAAAATTAAGAATGAAGAATGCATAGAACTGAAAAAAAAAAAACCTTAGGGTTTTCTGCCTCCTTAGTCTTTGCTTCTTATGATGCCCTTCTTTCAAGATTAGCTGAAGCCCAAAGTCTATGGAAGTTCTGATTACTTCAATAAGCTTTGGGTTTTGTACCTAATTACAGAGAAATTTACACAATTTGATGCCTCATACAATATTCTCTGTAGCTTTCTACTTTGAACATCACTGAAACACATTGGATGGGCTATAGAAAACCTGATGTGGGATCTATTCAATGGTGCAATTTTCATTTTGCTGATAACACTTCCCTCTCATTTTCTTCCTCCTCAGCAGGGTGTTTTTCAACACATCCTAGGAAATCAAACATAGAGAAACATCTGGAGTTTCTGATTTCTTCTTAGATAGTTATGAAGAGGGGCACACCTTCAAAGAACTATCTAGTTCTGGAAGTCTGCTCCTTCCAAAACCAATTATCTTTTATTTTCTCTTACGTGAGGGAACAATAAGTGAAAATGTGGCCGAAAGCCGAGGGTGAATTGCAAATGGAAGTAACAGTAGTTAATGTCAAAGCATTGAAGAACTAAAGATTGATTTCTTAGAGGGACAGAAGAAAGGAAAATGGCAGAGTGCACTGGTAGGTACTGGTTGTTCAGACTGCATTAAGAAGAAACAGATTTTCTGTTTTGTTTTGTTTCCTGAAAGGAATCCTAGACAGTTAAAAGACATAGGCCTAAACTGAATTTAAATGGCACCATAATGAAAATCTTACACATTTTAAATTCAATTGTACTCTAAACCAAATTAGCCATCTTGCTTGCCAAAAATGTGTAGCACTCACACAGCACCGCGAAAATAAGGAATGCTTTCAGATGCAAAAGTACTCAAGGGAATTATTTATTCTGGAAGAAGTCATAAGTAGCATGATTAAATCTATTCTTCCAGTATTTCTGGCTCACCTGCCAAACCCTTGAATTTGAGCAAGCCTTCAAACCTGTGGTTAGCTGCCAGGAATCCTAACTTTCATCCCATTTTCAACCTGGTTTAAGGGAATAACATGCATCTTAGTGTACTGCTGAGTTTTCACTTATAACCTTGAATTTGTAACAGCAAATACAATTTAGCATCAAGCATTAGCTTCCATTTTATTACACATCTATATAAATATAAGGTATTTGCAATGACACTCTTTTGTACTTAGTCTGTACATTTGGAGATAGAAACTCATTCAGCACTCAGACATTTGGTATAGCCCTTGTACTTAAAAGGAACCTTCAGGACCCTTTAAGTGTCTTAAAAGAAAGCAAAGGATATGTAAATATAGGAAATAGGCTAGTTGCAAGAAAGATACTTGACTGTACTGTACTACAAGTCAATACAATTTGTACAGGTTCTTACTGGACACTTCAAATAAGGCTTGTGCATTTTATCAAGTGCTAAATTTGTCAGGTCCAGACTTTTAAGGTATTTTTCCAATGCTACTACTTCACTCAGTAAATTAATATTAATTTACATGAGAAAACAGATCAAAAGAAACATCAGATTCTAGAAAGTCACATGTAAAATGTTGAATATATCAGAATTGTTTTTACATTTTCTTGGTAGCAAATAACTGAAAATACTGATTTAAAAACATTCATGTCTCGCTAGTGATAAAAGGTCTTCATTGTCTAGTTCTGACTGGTCAACAAAACTGTCTGATTAATACTTTTTCTGCAACAGCATGCCTTTTAATTAGATTTTTATTGCAAATGCTGTGAGAAAATACATAAAAATTCACTTTTCATACACATAAGCAAGATTAAAATGTCTGTGTAAGCAGAATTCTTTCTAGCAAACCCTGATTATAAGAATATTAAATGAAACCAACCATTGAAAGAGCACAAAAAGTATATGCAGAGTAAATTAAAGAAAATCTGAATGTATCTGGATTTCAATTAACTATAGCAATTAACATGAACATGTATCCAAATGCTCTTTACCATGACTCTTTAGTATGTATTACCAATAATGGATAAATGAATTACTTTCACACAGAACACCTACAAATCTTGAATATATTTTTCAAAAGAATAATAATAATAATAAAAAAAAAGTATCTTTCCAAAATCCACATTGGTTTCTACAGCTCTTGTGCCTTGAGACAACAAAACAAAATCCGCTACTACTTCTAAATATATCTGGGAACATTTCTAGAAAACTGAGAGAAAAAATATAAAGCATTAAAAGCACAGTACTAAATGGCTTTGAAGAGTGACTTGAAATTTTTCTGACAGTTTGTCAATCAACTGCGAACCCTGTTTAAAATTTAGTATGATGACTAACAGCATTTTTCTTAAAGTGTTTCAAACATCAAGTTACTTAAAAAATTCAGGTGAAATTCAAGATGTTTATTATTCAGAAGAACAAAGCTTCTCAAAATAATAAATGCTTGATTTCACTCTTCCAGGCACCTACCAGTTCAGCTCCCCTGAGTCTGCACCACCTGGGACTCCTCTTGGCAGAATTAAAGCCAATGACCCTGATGTGGGTGAGAATGCAGAGACTGAGTATAGCATCTCCAATGGGGATGGATCGGACATGTTTGATATCGTCACTGACAAGGACACACAGGAAGGGATTATAACTGTCAAAAAGGTTTATTTTTTTCTCCCTCTCTTTTATATGTACTTAGGTCTCCATGTGTTATGGTTATTTTTCTTTTTCCAGGGGAAGGGAAGGTAGAGCTCACAAGGGGTCAGGCTGTCAAGGAGTTGTATTAGTTTTGTTCTTCTCTTTCTTCAGCAGATATCTGTTATTTTCAAGTCTCGAGGGAAATTTACTGTCATGTCACTTCACATAAAGCAATATTTCAGTGGCTGCTGTCTGTTCAATATATATACTCTCACACACAGTACTTTTGAATTAGGGCTGTGAAAACCTGGAGGGGTTCGGTTCACAGTAAGGTTTGTCAGCTGAATGCTGCAGTAAGGCTCATAAGGGTTGGAGGCTCACCTGAAGTTTGATGAACTTACCCCTCCAAGGCTAAACTGTCCCTCTCTAATCTGTCCAACAGTCAGGTATCTCCAGTACCTAAAATCTGTCTTGGTTTAAGTGCAACCTTGGTGAAACCTAAGTTGTTACATATTATGTCAATGGAAGTCCAAAGAGCAAAGACATGGGCAGAAATTTAATTCAAAATACCACCTCTGACAGATTTATCAGTTGTTTTTTAGTGTTCAGACTGTTAAACTCTGAACACTATTTTTGTTCTATTCTTACTGAACATATCAATAACAATTAATCGATATATACATATATATAAAACATAGATCTATACACATACATTTGGAAACTTACATATATTTATGTATTTGCATGCATGTATATGTGTGCACATATGAATGTATATATGCATATGCATAGATGGATATGCATAATATAAATGTCACATAGATTGGAAAACAGACTTCATAGTTTTTCTTTTCACTGTAGAACATGGAGGACAGGGACAGGTCTGGGTTGTTCCTGATGCAAAATAGGCAAGGGTAGATGGTAATGAGACAGGAGTAAGGAAAAAGGAAATAGGACAGAGACTGTTTAAGAGCTGGGATAATTGTTTCTACAAATGAGATAAGACAAATAAGACCTTTAGCAATTCTTACTTGTGAATTGAGTCCAACTTCCCTGTTTCTTTCTTTTTTGGTTTTTCTATAGATTGACCCCTCCTGGTTTTCCAGGAATCTGAACAAGTAGTAGGCAGAGGGATCATAATTGCCTTGCAACCCTATAATATTCCTTATTTTTCATATACCTAGAACAAGCCCTAATATACTCCATTTTCTCCAAGATGAATTAAATTTTAGAGCTTTTGCTCCTAAAATTACCTACACTTCTAATTCAGCATTATAAAACTGACTCACGTTTCTTGTAAAGTGACACAGTTTATTATTATTATTTTCTCCCCAGCGTCTGGATTTTGAAAACAAGATGTTATACACCTTAAGAGTGGAAGCAACCAATACTCATCCTGATCCTCGTTTTCTTCAGCTGGGGCCATTCAAAGATACGGCTTTGGTAAAAATTTCTGTGGAAGACATAGATGAACCTCCAGTGTTCAGCAGACCCTGGTATTTAATAGAGGTAGATGAAGATGCCAAGGAAGGAAGCATTATTGGACAGGTTGTAGCCCAAGATCCGGATATAACAAAGAATGCAATAAAGTAAGCTATTACACAACATAAAATTCTTTAGATGTGGGTCAAGTCTCATGCACAAAGTGTGATGAGAGCACAATGTAATAGGGGGCCACTTGAGTAATGAAGCCCATAGGGGCTACTGAAAAGTGTCAAGCAGAGAAATACCTAGGGGAGCTTGTGAAGGCAAACAAAGTTAACAGTACAGGGTATGCTTTTGAAGGACAGCCTATAGGCAGCAAGTAAAAAGGAGAGGTCAGCATTTAACTGGCATCATGTTCTAGTACTTTCACCAAAATGTTCATAACATCATGTTTTTATATCATGTTTCCAATGGCAAACTTAAGTAAAATACTCAAAATGGTGTATTTCTGCACTCCCTGCTGGTTGATAGCAGTCAGCCTTCTGTACCTTCATAATCCCCTAGACATAACACTGTCTACCATGTTCCATAGCTTAACTATTTAATGATCACATTATATTAAATAAGAAATAATTGCGAAAAGTCCTAACAATTAGGTGGAAGAGTTCAGTGCTGTGAAATCACTGTAATTGTTAGCCATCTGCTATTATCTGCAGTGACAAACACAGCATTGAAATTTGTGTATTTACCATGCAACTGATTAGGAAACCTGATTTCTGCATTTCTGAACAAGCCTGTTATGTCCTGCAGCAGTACAGTTTGGGGTAGGAAGTATGAGGGCAGGAAGAAAATAAAATATTTTTGAGTAATCTATGTATAAAGTCTCAGTTGAACCTGATAGTGACTGGTAGCTACTAGACTAATTAGAAATACACTGGTAAAATAAGTTCTTCCTTGCTGGGAAAGAACAGAGCAAAATCAAATGTCATAAAATAAGATTTTAAGAACTTTCATTTTAGATAACAACTAATCCAAAGATTTTTCTGATGATTTTGATGGTACTTATGACACCTCACAAATATCTTGTTATAAATTGATACTTAGTTATATCTGCAATGTGTGTCCTTTGATGACCGAGTTCTCCAAGAAACAATTAATTTGCAAAAATATTATCTTAGAATGTTTACTTTTAGTTGTTATTCCAGCATTCACTTTATAAGCTAAAATGTAATTTCAAATATCAATCTAACGAACTGCCCATATGAATAGTTTGCTCTTCATGCCACTCACTAGTCTTAAAAAATTGTTTCTCCATATTTGTAATGTGTTACCCTCTTCAGGAAGCTACAGGAAAGCTTAGGTTAACTGTAAAGAAAACATTCTTGCTTAACCACAGTTAAAATTAGAAAACTTTCAGAGGTGGCTGTGAGCTAAACTAGAGACTGTAATAGGAAATAGTGATGCTCAGTTATACTGATTCTTGACAGATATTCTGTGGATCGACACACTGACCTTGACAGAATATTCAACATCTATTCAGGAAATGGATCCTTATTCATCTCAAAGCCACTTGACCGGGAAGAAACTCCCTGGCACAACATCACTGTCATAGCAACTGAAATCAGTAAGTTAGAGATCATTTATCTCGGAAGAACATTAGAACTAAGACAAGACTGAAATTCTACAGTAACTATGATTTACCTTGTCTCATTAGTTTTGCCCTTTTTCAGATCTTATTGATAGACAGTATCTTTAAATGCACATCTAAAAGTGCAATTTACTACTTTAGGATTATCTTTGCCCATTTGTGAAAAGATAATCTGGAATGCTCAGGCTCAACAAAACTGCATACAGTATATATTAGACAAGTTAACTGGTTCCCTGAGAATTCCCAGCAAATAATTTGGTGCAGGTGTGATGCAGTGGCTTTATCCTAAGCTAAGTCTTTGGGAAAATCTTTGAAAAAAAAGATGTCCATGATGGAGAAATAACACATTGTCAGAACGACGGCTGTAAACAGGGGAAGAAATTATGCTTTACCTCAACTGCTTTAATTTATCTTAGGAAATGGCTTCATTTGAAGCCAAGACTAGAGGAAATTCTTTCCCCTTCATGTCTGAAGCAAACCTTGGCCCTGTCTTTCACCTGTATTCTTTACTATTCTGTTGGACCCTTTTAGATCTGGATGTCTCTTGCCTGCCTTTTCTTTCCAGCCAACTGATAACAGTCATCAGAGGGGAAACAGAAACATTGATTTTAGGGAACAACTTTTCTCCCTTCCTTCATTCTCCCCATAGATTCCCCAGCAGTTTATGTGCTTAACAGTCTGGGAGTCGGGTAATACGGAGAGATGAATTATATCCCCATTTTAAGAAAGACTTGATACCTTTTCCTCATAAATGCTTTTTCATTTTTTGGTCAAATATGGACTCCATTTTCAATATGTGTACTGTGAGATTCATTTCCAGTGACAGCTTGTCCTTGGAGGTCAAGTTTGTGAAGACTGATTGATGATAACATCTACATATATCCTTTTTTTGTTTTGGTTTGTACATTTTGGGGAGAAATGACAACCTTTGGTTTTTTTTGGTTTGGGTTTTTTTTGTATTGTTGTTGTTGACTGACACTGTTTAACTGCTTTACTGCTTTGAACAAGGAAATCTTCTCAACAGCTTGACCTCAGAAAACAGCTTTTGCAATTAATCATTTACTGCACCGATGTATGGAATACAAGTCAATAATAACTCAGTGTCCTGTTTTTAATGCAAATCAATTTAAGTATACTTTGTATTATTTCAAAATACATACACTATAATAGAATAATTTGTTTCAAATATGAATAGGGCTTTTATGCATATGGAATGTATGTCAGTAGAAAATGAAATATAACTGTTTTAATATAATCAAGATAAATGAACATTTCTAATATCTATCAGAAAAAATATATTAGAAAATTTCAGATCTTTTCATAGACTGTCAATCTTTGCATTGTAATATAAATAATTTTCTTCTTTCAGATAATCCTAAACAAAGTACCCAGATACCTGTCTTCATCCGGATTTTAGACATAAATGATCATGCACCAGAATTTGCCAAATACTATGAAACATTTGTTTGTGAAAATGCAAAAGCAGGACAGGTAAACAAATACTCATGTTACTGAAGAACTCGTAATGAGACTATCCTGGAATACCATCATGGAAACTTTGGCATATCTTAATTTAAACAACTGCAAACCAACCCAACCTCTTTATTCCCTACCTTCTACAGAAACTACCAGTTGATTCAAAAAAGGTTTCAGGAGATAAAAGATGCAGGATTTTACACTAGTATAATAACATAGCATATAATACAAAATTGTACTTTAAGGTGTTTTTTCACTCCTAATATCAGAAAATATTTTTCGTAACTAGTTATGCATAATGCTGCAAAGCTCTTTATACTGTTTGATAATTCCATTTCTTTCTGGATTTTTTTCAAAGCCTTAGTTAATGTAGCCACACCTTCAAGTACACAAAGCAGGAAGATCTTTTATTATGCTTCAGTAAAGGAGACATAAAAAGTAAACTTTTACAAAAATAAATGACAATGCAACTGTTTCCATTGTAAGTTAAACTTCAATTTGGAATTGAGTTGAATTTGGTCAAAGCTCATGTATATCCCTTTCTAAACTATCTCAGCAATTCTGTAATAATCTAAAAAGACAATAAGATTTGTAAAGAAAATAAAGCGATAACTGGGAACTGAGAAAGGAGGTAGACTAATGCAACTCAGAGCTAGGATATTACAGAAATCTTTTAATATTACTGTTGCTACAACCAATATCTATTTATGCTAATGCCAGTCAGCCTTTCAGTTTTAAATCCTGTGAAGAGAGATGGGTTCCTACTCTAGTGGGGAGAGGCCAGGATGGAGTCCTAAACTCAGCTTAGGTCTATCCTTGTGTCTCACTAGTTTTATGCTGACATCATCCAACCAAAGCTGGCTGACTTCATGGAAAATATGTGGAAAAAATCAGAATGTAGGATATTTTGTTTGTTCTTAAAGCAAAATGACCATACAGCATTCAAAGGCTTTACAGGGCTGGGGGATATGGATACACATGAGGAAGCATGCTCAAGTTTTATCTTGATTGCTGCCCAGTGTTGTATTTAACGTAGCTATGGAGGCTGCACTGAAAGTAGCATAGATGGTACCTGAGATGAGTCTAGAATTTCAGGTCCTGCAGAACTCTAGATAGAGCAAGAACATGCAGTTTACTAGCTACAATTCAAATGATGTTTTACGAAAGGTTTAACAGATGAAAAAAAAAACAAACAACCAACACAAATAGAAGAGACCAAAAAAGGGAGAAAAAGAGGATACAGGGATTACTGGAGTTTACGTTCAATTCTACTTGTTTTTCATTCATTGCACCTAATACTGGAATTTAGGTAAGTGGGTTAGAAAGACAGAGGATACTTGAGTGCAATCACTTGGCTTTGAAGAGGTACTTGGCCATTAATTTAATTCTTTTTCAAGAAACAATATAAATACAGGAATATGCATATCAAACGCAGTGATGAATTAAATTAAAACAGTGGAAGGAATTATAATATCAAAAAAATGAACAAGGAGCACCTTTTGAAACAACTGAGGTTTATCATCAGAACATTGTGTTTTAACCAGTGACATAAATTGTCACATGAGAATACAGAATGAGCAAAAATTCCCTAAACTTCTGGTTATTGTACCCTCGTAGTTTTGTTTTATGATTAATAAGCTGTTTTTTCCAGGTGGAATACATTCAAATAATTCTAGCCATTAATTTCAAACAGCTAGCATATGGCCTAAATTCTGTCTGTGCAACAAAATCTCTTTGCACAAGATGAAATTGAGACAAACAAATCTTAAAATCTCAGTATAATGACTGATAGGAAAGTGAGTCATGTACTTTAATTGCATAACACAAAGAAAAGTTCCAAAGCTTACAAATGAAGATTTCATTGAAAGTAATCATGTGCCATTTTATCAACCAGCAAACACAGGTTTTGTCATATATTTGAACCAAGTTCAATCCAGGCGTACTGCTTGTCAGTTTCCTTAACCCAGTTTCCATCTAGTCTAGTATACTTGGTGAAATATCCATTAATGTGTAAAACTTCATTTTCCTTTCTGGTAAATTCTGTGTTTTTCTAACAACAGAGATGACAAAGGCCCATTAGATAGGCATATTGTTATTCAGACCTCCCTTCTAGCGTACAAATGTAATTCCAGGAATTATTTTCCCTAATTGGAAAAATCCACAAAAATACTAGAAAGACAGTGTGCATCAAGTGTAGGTGCAGAAGAATGAGAGATGCAGACTGTTCTTCTATTTGTTAACAATTGGGTTCCTCAAGACAGGCATCTGCGTTCATATCTGGACATCATTTACAAATAGTTAGTATTTCAGAAAACAAATTACCTTCAGTACATGAGACTACTTTTATTTTGGTGCCTAAAAATAGCAATAAATATAGAGATACACACTTGAATATTTTGGCCAAGGATGCAAAGTTCCAGATAGCCTGTATTGCTCATGTTTAGCAGTCTTCCTATAATATAATAAATGTATAGAATCATGTTCTGTTCATTTAGTACTACTCCACCTTACTTTAGAGATCACCTAAAGCAGCTGTCTTATTAGAACCATTATTGCTTCTATGGTGCCCATAGCAGGAAAGCCAGACTGAGAAGATAAATATATTTAGTTAATTTTTAAATTTATTTTTTTTTAATGAGGCCCAGCTATTAATCACATTGCTCTCTAAATCTCAGTTGCATCAGGAAGCAGTCAGAATGATCAAATATTGCTCTCTGCCACCAAGTGACATTACTCATTCTCAACATCAGCAGATATTAGAGGCTGCATTCATTGTGTTTTTCAGATAGCCTTAGGAGGGTCAGGGGAAAGAAAATCCTACAGAGTGTCTCCTCCTCCCCGCCAATCTTTTGTCATTATCACTAGAGGTGCATAAACAACTATGTTCATTAGGCTGGAACAGATTTGTCACCATGCAAGTCCCATTCCACTGGCTAATACACAGGCTAAAGAAAAGTATGACGCAGCCTTCCTCTCACACATTTTAGAAATCTCTAATCCTTTGATGGTGTGTTAGAGCCCCAAGGACTGCTGTGGGGAAAGCTGTGGTACAAGATCTCTCATGCCCTTGTCATGGGAATTAATTGGGTCTTTTCAGCTGGATTAGAGGATGAGTCCTCTCCATGGAAACCAGGAAGATTTACTTGAAAAGGAGAGTGATTTAACTGAACAATTTGCTAGTAACAATTTAGCTAATTTCAACACCCATCAATAAGAATATTTAAGAAAATAACCTCGGTCACTTTTTGCATTGATGCTATATTCTTTCCTGCCATTCAGGGGCTCTCCGACATCAGAACAGAGAAAGAGTTTGCTTCCTCTTTCAGAAAGCTGGCAGATTTTTCTTTTCATTAGTCTCCATACCCCCTCACCCCCACCTTTTTCAGGTGGAGCAGACAGACATCACATTTTTCATGTGGCCATTGCTAATTATCAGTCACGAGTTGTTTATACATTGTAGCTGCCTTCTCTAGGTGGACACCTATTGGCTTGATTTAGTGAGAGACCCATGCTAACAGTCTGCCTCTCTTTTGAAGTAAGAACTAGAGTTCAAGGGAGAATTTTCCAACTTCTGATAAGCATTCAGTCCTGCTTTAAAACTGACAACACGTTTGTGGAACAGAGCCAAGACTTGAAAAGCAAACTGTTTTGCATTACCAAACATGAAGCTTTGCTAAGTGGCAGGCATTTTAGAATATTTCTTAAGACATAAAGCATAAAGATCAAAGGTCTGTTCAAGCTTACATACATGTGATGGAGGCTGCTTTCTGCAGCTAGCACCATACAGGTGTATAGGCTAGAATTGTGCCTGAAAAAGTGCGATCACTCAAGCTGCAAAATGACAAGATGGGTATCCACTGACAACTGGATTGATTTTGAAACACTTCTATGTGGGAACACTTGAACTATATTATTACTTCACTCAGAGAAATGTAGCTACTTTGAAATCTACAAAATCTTCATCCCACCACACTTACACTGTGTTGTGTTATTAATACATTCAAGGCTGGTTAGTGATTGGCCCCACCAGATTGTACAGGCAGGAAAAGGGACAAGAGAAAGAAAAGACAAGAGAAACACAAAGTTGCTTTTCCACATTTCCCCCATAGCATCTGCGCACTACGCTGTTCTGATGATTGTCAAAAGCTCAGTCTCTCTCACAATATGTTTTTTCATAGTTTATTGCAGACAAAGTGGTGAGAACTTTCCAGATTCCTTGAGAAATATTTGCAGCACAAAACAGGTTTAATAAATTTCAAGAATGACAAAGCCAGTGCTCCAAGATCCGGGATTTGTTCTGTTCTCTCCTATTGCACTTCTGAAAAAAAGTGTCAGACAAATACAAACAGCAAAATGTCCCAAACATTCATTTCTCAAGTGCGTAGTGATATTTTTTAAGTCTTATATCAGAAACAGATGAATGCAGATAAATGACATTTGAGAAATTTTTCTGTTGTACAATACCCAGGTTTAACTAAGAGTGTAATATAACAAGAATGAAAGCCTAAATGATTCAAGTGGATTGAAGGCCTGCTCCTCTGCATATCTATAGTCCCATACAAGAAACAACAAAATTCAGTAGCTGTTACTGTGTCTCTAGCTTAACAATATCTGTCTCCAGTGGTCTTCTCTGAGACTGGAAGTACAGTTTTCATGCTATATGACAATTACACTGTTTTAAAAATTCAGAAAGGCACTGTCTACAACAGCAGACCATCTTTAAATTCCTGTGAAAGTGACACTATTTTTCACTGTCTTATTTATAGTGAATTTTAAAAGAAGGAATTTTGTAAAAAAGGTTTAAAAATATGATAGCAACCACCAATATGCTGTTGTTTTGAAAAGAAGGGGACATTCTATTTGTCTCAAATTTTGTTTTATTATTAGAAATTTTTAACCTGAAAATATATTTCATCTATCTACCCACAGACCTCATCTTGTTCAGCTTTCTTCAATGAACCTTTCAAGAATCTGTCTGAAGCATGTTGCTGCATTTTTAAAGTGTGTACCCTGGAGCCAATGTACAGCTGTGGTTTATTCGCATGACATGCCAAGCCAGCGCAGGCTGAAAAGCCCATCTAAAAAGTGGCTAGCTGGTGCTGACCTCTATGCTGTTAAAGATGTGCTACTAGCTTAAACATTTGCTCTAATGGTTCCTGTATTCCTTATAGAGGCAGTCCCAAGGCTGAGCCCATGACCCGAGTCTCCTACTTGTGCAGCTTTCTGTGTCCAAAAATGAAGCCTCAGGAACAGTAAGGGCATGCTCTGAAGTGCACAGGGACACTTGTTATTGCAGAATGCCCCACCTATCTTTTACTCACTTTCTGTCTTTAAAACAGCTTGAAGAAAACTGGAGAGCATGCTACATCTAGGGATGTACCAGATATACGTAAGGAATCTGTTACTAGGCAGTCTATTCATCCTCAATCACTTTTTCAGAGATGAGTATGTATACCTATAAAATAGCTTGAACATAAACTACAATAACAATTTTGACTGTGGTGTAAGTCATGGCCTTAAAAACACAGTATCCAGGAAAAAAAAAAAAAAAAAAAAAAAACCACACAAAAAAACCCCACAAAAAAAAACATTATAATAAACCAATCACTTTTTCAGAGATGAGTATGTATACCTATAAAATAGCTTGAACATAAACTACAATAACAATTTTGACTGTGGTGTAAGTCATGGCCTTAAAAACACAGTATCCAGGAAAAAAAAAAAAAAAAAAAAAAAACCAACCAAAAAAACCCCACAAAACAGTACATTATCATCAAACCATTTCCACATTTGAAAAAATGATGCCAGTGGGAAATAGGTCCAAACCCTTTAACAGAATCTCTGGCTTCATCGTGAAAGAAATTCTTCCAGAAAATTTTCCAGTGAGAATAACTCCTCATTCACAAATCATCTTACATCATCAAGCTGCTACGACTACTTTGTCCTGAGTGTAAAAGAGAAAACTTTATGCCAATACCTAATTTTAAATTTTCAGTACTTTCAAAGACAAGTGTCCCCTAAACCCTTGAATTTACCCAATAAGATCTGCTCAAGAGTACGAGACTCTTTAAACACACAAAAGTGTACCTGCACATTCACATGCACACATAACCCTCAAAATAATGACAATAATGCTGTATTTTCAAAATTGTGTTCATTTGCATGGCAAACTACGGAAGAAAGATAAAAATGGGAATGCTTTTTATCTTCTCTAAGCCTGATACGCTTGAAACATGTTTGAGTAAAAGCTATTTTCTTGAAATAACGTTTCCCTCATAAATCTTACAGTGTCAGAGATCTTTCTCTGAACTGGTGAAGAGTGATCATAACTCAATGTCCGTAACTGCTTCAAAACAGAAGAATACATTTCCAACATGAAATTATAATATGTACATGAAACAGTACTATTTTTTTCATATAACTGAGATACTTAAAAATAGCCACTTCTCTTTAATTTCTGCAATGATTATCATGAACATCATTCTCTTTTATTTACGGCTGTATAACTGAAAACAACCTTAATTAGATAACATTTCTAATTTCCTTTCATGTATTCATCGTTTGGAAAAATTCACCTGCAATCATCCTTTCTCGTTGTTCTTTTATTCTCCCATCTTTCCTCGTGGAAGAACAGCTGGTTCTCAATTTATGCAGCCAATAGTTAGAGCAGGTAATAAGTTGGGTTTTTTTCTTCTTCAACCTTACTTTCAACAATAAGTTTGCAATGTAATTAGGTTCCTCTATGCCTGGCACAATTCTCCTCCTCCATGTGATTTGCACATGAAGGGAATCAAATCCAGATCCTACAAACATCCCACTGATTACATCTCAAAAAGCCCCAAGACACTCAACTGCAATTTCTGGTAGTTATTATATTTTCTACTTGAGTTTTTCAGCAAGTAATTGTGAAAATATTATCACTTATTCTAATTCTCTCTCTTCTCTCCGGTACTTTTACACGTTTTTTGTCTTTTCAAACTTGTAAAAATGTGAAAGGAAAATTTTCTCATTTCAATTTGGTATTTTAGTCCTATCAGAAGGAGACTTTTTTTGCAGCAATATTACATTTTTGCATTAAACAATGCAAAACTAAAATTAAGCAATACCCTGGTCTTCCTTTCTGTATTGCCTCTCTCAGAGGCAGATTATGGCAAAGAGAAAAGCAATGGGACTTTGGAAAAATGTTGGCATGATCAGAGACACAGCAACATACTTAACAGGCTACTTTACCATAAACAGATATTTGGCTGATCTTGGGAAACAGATAAAGCTTAAAAAAAAAAATCGTAAGAGCAATGATCATCAAATGCTTTAAAAGTGAAGATACCATAATATGTAGTTATTATTATAATCACACTTAGAAAAACTGTATAATCCTGCCTTCAGCATAGTCACATCCCCTTGTACAAGGCAGATGTTCAGAAATTACCTTTCAAGTTCCTCAATATGCCTCAAAAATAAAAAGAAAATGATAAAAAAAAAAGTCTTGTGGTTGTTTTAGAAGGAGCTGCTAGGAAGTAAATGAGCTAAACAGACTTTCTGTACTGTTTGGGTTTTTTTTTATAACAACTTAATATTATTAGCTGTAATAAAAGTATCTCAAAATTAACTAGAAAAAATGGACCAAATACTCATTGTGCAGTACAGCACTAGCAGCAGCAGGTTTCTGAATGTTACAGTAAGAAAAACACTTTAGTATTTTTGGTAGCCCTATAATTATGTTTGTCTAATAGTGTTCCATCCTGAGAGATGCTAAATACCCTCCAAAATTTAACTGTATCCTCAAGTCCCATTCAAGCTGATGTTCAGAGAAAGTACACAAGAAAAAGCCATTCCTTACTTGATTGCTGCAAAGCTTAAAAATCATATCAGTGTTACTTGTCAATTACTGTATTTCTTGAAGAAGACATGCTGTACTTTCCTTGGAAATATCAGAAAAACAAGTTGCGAAGTAAGTCTTTGATAATAAGTGGCTTTGATGTCTGTGGGATTTCAGGACACCCTACATACTGGAAAAACTTCAAAACCTCAAGACAGGCATTGGCTCCCTCATGGCTTTGAAAGAAACAAGTCTAACTGCTGAGCTCTTTCTGCCTTTAAGTTTAGGTGCCATAGGAACTCAGCTGTACTGAGTTGCAGTATCCTCTGTTGAAGATTACTCCCTTTCTCATGCCACCAAGCTTTGTCATCTTGTGATTGAACTCAAACATGCCCTTGCAAGCCAAGGTGGAGTATGGGTCACTCTCCAGTGCGATACCCACTAGGGAGTGCAAAGGACATCACAGTCTTTCATACGGCTCACTGGAGTTACTACGACTCATGCAAGGCAGCATGGTGTTAACTATTGCAAGTTGTTTCACCAACCACAGCTATTCCCAGGTAGCTTTTCCTTCCTCAGTTCTGCAGCTGTTTTCCTTAGCCTCTATCAGTCTAGCAGCACATAGATGAAAAAGAGTCAAATTGCTAGCATATATGTGTGTCTATACATACATGAGTACACATATTTGCACAAGTTTTGATGGAACAGGAAAGCCTGTGCAATCCAGAGGTACTGCTGAAGCTTCTCATTTTTTAGTCCACTCTACTCTGACCCTATGTTGGCACTATTATTACTCCTTGCCAGCTGTGCTTGAGTGGCCTTGTTAGGGCAGCTATAAAGCTCCATAGCCAGAGGTTTCAATTTAGGAGGGAGTAAAGCATCTCTTTTTATTACCTCAGGAGAACCAAGCATCCTGCCAGTGCAGTACTCCAATTTATCGCCAGGAGCAGATGAGGTGGACTGGGAATTAGACCCACTTCACAACTGGTTTACACACCACTCTGTGTCATTGCTATGTGAGGCCACAGGATGTTTATGGCTTATTCAGAAGGGCAATTGTTTCTGTATCACTGCAAGATACTGAATACAAATCAAAGAACATGGCTGTCTTGCTGTGAGGACTGGCCCCTTTTTCATCCTCTGTTATGTGTTTAAACAACAAAACAACCACTTGCTTCCTGTAACCTCTCCTGTGTTTATGAGGGGAACATTTGGCTTAGGACATCAGTTTGCATCTTCAGATAGAGATTCATTGGATTTTTACTGGACATGAAAAGAAGAGGCCTTATTTCAAACACAAGATTTCTAAAATAACATGAAATACTGTTTTCTTTATAGTTGATACAGACTGTGAGTGCAGTTGACAAAGATGAGCCTCCTCAAGGACACAAATTTTTCTTTGAGTTGGTGCCAGAATTTGCTGTTCATCCAAACTTCTCCATTGTAGACAACAAAGGTAACTGCTGACCAGTACCATCCCCCCTCCTGCCCCCATACCACATAAAGCTTCATCCAGCAACATTTATTTATTCTGCTTTTCCATTCTAGATAACACAGCAGCCTGCCAATCATAATATTTGACAATGACTACCCAATCCAGAGCAGCACTGGCACACTGACCATTCGAGTGTGTGCCTGCGACAGCTGGGGCAACATGCAGTCCTGCAACGCTGAGGCCTTGCTCCTGCCTGCTGGCCTCAGCACAGGGGCACTGGTTGCCATTCTCCTCTGCATCATTATCCTGCTAGGCAAGTACCTGTGATGAGATGTTTAATTGAGTAGGCAAAGGTCTAGTCACTTATAGACCCCAGATATTCTTCAACCCCTTATTCACATGACCCTGCAGAACAATTTTTCACACCTGATGTGTTTTGGGTTTTGTTTTCTTTTAACCAATCCTTTTCTAAGATGGAAAAGGAGCTGGGAGAGAGGGAAAGGGAGCCACTATGGGCTGTTTGTCATCATTACTGTTCACAAGAATATGCAAAAAGAATGAGACTATCAATGTTATTTAGATGACATGAATTTGAAAATCTAGGGTCAGTTTTAGATACCATGCTCATTTGAGTAATGTTTTATGTTAGAAACAGATCTCCATTTAGATTCAGGACTTTAAAATCATACTCCTGAAGCTGAGTGATAAGTTTCTCAGTGATTAAAAATTATCAATTATACTAGCTATTTAATCATGAATGATTTGTAATTTTTATACTCAGGAAATATTTAGCTCAAAAGCATAGAAAAAAAATGTTCCATTGCTTGCAAGTGGTAGCGAGAGCAGCTGATTAAATGAAGTGTGAGCACAGAAGATAGATGGGTGGTTGGAGAGCAGAAGCACTAGAAAGATGAGGTGATATATGAAGAAATTAGAATAAATGCTAGCTCATAACCTGGTGTTAAGAACATAAAACGTGCAACTTGCCTGTTTTGCTTACCAAGGATATGCTTCCTTAAAAGTGCCATCATCTCTGCTTTCCAGTTAAATTCTGTAGAAAACCTCTTTCCCCCTTTCCACCTGTCCTAGCAAACACAGCTCGCCAAGGGGGCAGTGACAAGCTTACAGGTGTCAGTTTATATAATTCTAAGGAGATTGCTTATTTTTCAGCTTTTAGACTGGATTCAAGCTACCTGCAGTAAATATTCAGAGGACCACTGAGACTGCTAGGAGAGGGCCAATACATAGGAACTATATCTGTACTGTTGGGCATAGGGAAGGGAGGGTACTTGAGCTCTGAGAAACCGATTGTCCATACTGCTTAGGTTCAAGCATCGCTGCTGGCCTGGTTTCACATGAGCCAGCTTGGATTTCCCAGGAGGTTGCCCAGGCATAGTCTGACCAGCAGAATTTGCAGGACACCACTTCCAGCATACAATTATGGTTCAAACTCTGACAGATGGGGTGCATCAAAAGAAGTGGCCACACAGCAGGTCGAGGGAGGTGATTCTGCCCCTCTACTCTGCTCTGGTGAGACCCCACCTGGAGTACTGCATCCAGCTCTGGGGTCCTCAGTACAAGAAGGACGTAGACCTGTTGGAGAGGGTCAGAGGAGGGCCAAAAAAATGATCAGAGGGATGGGGCACCTCTCTTATGAGGAAAGGCTGAAAGAGCTGGGGTTGTTCAGCCTGGAGAAGAGAAGGCTGCGGTGTGACCTTATTGCAGCCTTTCAGTACTTAAAGGGGGCTTATAAGAAAGATGGGGACAGACTTTTTAGCAGGGCCAGTAGCGATAAGACAAGGGGTAATGGTTTTAAACTAAAGGAGGGTAGATTCAGACTAGATATAAGGAAGAAATTTTTTACCATGAGGGTGGTACTGGAACAGGTTGCCCAGAGAGGTGGTAGATGCCCCATCCTTGGAAATACTTAAGGCCAGGCTGGATGGGGCTCTGAGCAACCTGATCTAGTTGTAGATGTCCCTGCTCATTGCAGGGGGGATGGACTAGATGACCTTTAAAGGTCCCTTCCATCCCAAAGCATTCTATGATTCAGATCTGGCTCTCCACTTTGCGTAGTTCACCATGCCAACAGGCTGTGCGTCTCCAAAGCCACCCTTCATGCCCCAACATAGAGCATGAAATGTGTACCATGAAACACATACCCTTACTTGCTCACTATGAAAACATCACTCTGATTGGCTGCAATGCTTTAGTACAGAAACACCGAACTGAAAACAAAAATCAAAGTGGGCCTTAGGACCACAGTGATAGCACATGAGATGCAGAAAAGACTCAGTGACCAGTGCTGTGCAAAACAAGTGTGACCACTTTGTGTCTTTTGGCCCCACAGTCAGAAACCCTGCTCTACTTAGTGCTGCAGACATAGCTGAAGCCAGAGTAGCATAAGCCTGAAGAGCATCTAAACAGAACTGTTAGTTTACAGCTGGTCGTGTTCTCGGCACCTTATTTAATTGTTTAATGAGATGTTAGGATAGTAGACTGATGTCATCATGCCCAAAATAGGACAGACATATTAAGTACCCAGCTGTGAAAGACACTTCTTCATAATAACCTTTTAGTGATCTGCCCTACGCTTGTATATGAAGTTCTTACATTTACTTAATTGGACTATTACTTGTCTAGCACTACGAAAACTTGAAAAGAATGGCTCCTGTACAGATACAAAACCTCAAACAAAACAGAACAGAACAGCCTTTACATTCACAGCATTGTACCATGGCATGTGGACAATCTTGGTTCCCCTATCCCTACCCACAGCATGTCCAATCTTCCCTTTACTCACCAGTACTCAAGTCATTCAGGGTAAAAACTTTGCTCCTAAGACTCAACAAAAGTGCTCACCGCTGCTGTAATGTGTGGTTCAGCAACCACTGCTATGTCTCATTGACAGATGATCTCGCTGGCCTCTCCTATTTACTCCGGCTACTGGAGCTAGAGTCAGATTTTTAAAGGCATTTAAGAATTGAATTCCTACTGAAAACAATATCATTTAGGCACCAGAATATATTTAAGAATTTTAACTTCAGTTTTTCATCTTCCTCTGTAGGGGTTCATTTTTGTGTCAATCTTTATCTCTCCAAAAGGAAGAGTTATTCAACTAACATTTCTTAAACGAGGGGGATCATGTTTTTAAAAAGAAATATTTAGTAGCAAAGATTAGATTTCAATTCTTGCAGTCACTGAAGCCAAAAACAGTTTTGTCAATAATATTGATAGCTAAAGGCCTTCAGGTTCTTAAAATCCTATCCCAGCCTTAAAACTTCTCCAGTTCAACAGATAATGCAAAATATTTGCTCATTTATTTAATTTCTAACTACCCATTTCTTCATTCATCTTTTGTTTCCTTTCAGTATTAGTTGTCTTGTTTACTGCTCTCAAGAGACAGAGGAAGAAAGAACCCTTGATCATCTCAAAGGATGACGTTCGGGACAACATTGTGACCTACAATGATGAAGGAGGTGGAGAAGAAGACACACAGGCTTTTGACATTGGCACACTGAGAAATCCAGAAGCGAGGGAGGAAAGTAAGATGAGAAGAGATGTTATCCCAGAAACTATATTTCAGATAAGACGGACTGAACCTCTTTGGGAAAACATTGATGTCCAAGATTTTATTCATAGAAGGTTAAAGGAAAATGATTTAGATCCAGCTGCCCCTCCTTATGATTCACTAGCAACATATGCCTACGAAGGAAATGATTCCATAGCAAATTCACTCAGTTCCCTGGAATCGCTTACCATGGAGGGCAACCAAGACTATGATTACCTCAGTGACTGGGGACCTCGGTTTAAAAAACTAGCAGATATGTATGGTGGAGAGGACAGTGATCGAGACTGAGAAAGTAATCTGTGACCCGGTCAATGTTAGTGGAATTCATGTCTACGTTACTAGATAAAGTGGCCTACTCTCTCTTACTTGGGAATAAAAAATTTACAAAAAATAAGTGTTGTCTTAGTAAGGGTTTGCTTAATCAGTAAGTCAACGTGAATGAATATGAATGATTTAGATTTTACAAAATCTATAATTCACCCTCTCTGCCTAGAAACCTCTGATGAAAGGTTTTCACTGACAATGAAAAGACAATAAAAGGCTTTTTGTGCCTTTAATAATGAGATGGAAACTTAATTTTTTTTAATTGCTTTGCATTACCTTTCCTACTAGCTGGGACAGTGTGCAACCGCGTTGTAACATAATCTCAAAAATATACTTTAAAAAAGATTAATATTACTGCCATATTTATTGAGTTAAAGAATGTCTGTGTGTTGATTCATCATAATATTTTTATATATGTATATTTATATTTTTGTATTTTTATTAAATAAATTAGTGTTTATAAAAACACTACTTAATCATGTACTTTGTTAATCATAAGGAACCGTCCAATCTTTCTGAACAAAGGAAACTCCATATTGTGCTACTTAATTTTTGAATGCATTTTCTTATATTGGATTAGTGGTTGAAATGTACTGTGCAAGAACAATATTGAGAGAGTACTCTGTAATGGGAATGCAGTGTAGAAAAAAGAAAAAAATATTTTGAAAAAGTGATTATAAATAAATGCAGTCTGACTTGCAATGTGTATTACTATATGGCATAATAATATAGTTTCATTGTGAAACTCACCCCCACATACCTTCTTACACGAACAGGTGATCACTGAGAGCATTTAACAGATACATGCTTGGGGATTTAAGGAACCATGAAGGTTTATTCTGGTAGATATGAAAATGATTTTATAATATGCCTTTTAAAAAATTGGAATAATTAAGCAAACATCAATAATGAAAGGAAAGCTTTTTTATTTTAATCTTATTTTGGGGTTTTGAGGCAATTACGCAAATCAGACATGTTACTAATAGCTTCTTTTTAAATCAAAGCAAGCGAAGCAATAAAAACAAAGTCCAACTAGTATTTTACTACAGATGTTAGAGTTCTCTTCCTTCAAAGAAGTGCATATATTTGCATATTTCCTAAAGCATTAATGACAATCTTGAAGTGTATATTTCTGTTTAAAATCTATTTGCTGGATCAACTTTTATGCAATGCACTTTTTTTTTTCCACAGGATAGAAGGAATTTACCTGGATCACATGTGATCTGATCGAGAGTTGCAAGGTTTATCCACATGTGTTTATAAAAAGAAAAATAAAAAATCTCAAATGTATGAAAAAGAATCAAAGATGTCAGCAATATAGAATGTACACTATCCATAGCATTTCCATTTTTAATATTGACTTTAGGGAAAAATAAGTGCATATAGATGTCGAAAATAATAATGTTTTAAGGTTTTCTCTAGACTACGTAGTTATTTTTCAGATATTTTTAGAAAGAAACTTAAGAAACACATTAGCAATGTAATGTGGACTATTGAGGCACTCATCTCTTACCAAAAAGATAGTAAAGTGGCTACACACAAGGTCACTTTACCCAGGCATAGGAACACACTCCTGCCTAATGTTTTCCTCTCTACTATGTTGACATTCAGATTATTTCTCAAAAATATCTCTTTACTATTATTTATTTTATCCCTCTACCATATTCTTCTGCCAGTCCCAAGGATTCATCTGAAGTTTTCTGACACAGAACTCCTTTTTTTTAGGAGGGCAGTGTGTGTGTCAGGGGATTGGGGGGTCCAAACAAGCACTTGGAGCTTGAGCTCACTGTGAGCTGCGTGTCAGGTCTGCAACACTACGTTGCTAGTAAAATACTTTAGTGACACAAAAAAAGTCAAAATAACCTGCAAAATAACCTGCAGCCATATGGCAGCCACGTACATGGATGTGATGTAGTAATAAGACATCAATGTATAGCCTGATGGCATAAGAATGCATATTTCTTTTTTGTGTCTTTTGGGGGTGAAAGCAAAAGACTTATGGAATGTATGTTCTCAATAGCGTTTCTGGCAAAGTGAAAGTACAGAGGAATGCATTAGTCTTTCAGTGCAATTTTCATAACTTTAAGGCACTGCCTTAAGATGGGATAGGAGGAAAAAAATGGATGATAAAACAACTACGTCCCTGAAGAGAAATTACTGGAGGGGGAAAGAAAAAAAAAAACAACCCAAACCAAGAATACAGGAAAAACCTCTTTGACTTATAGAAATCGTACACCCAAACTTCATCTTCAGTGACAAACACAGTAGATTGGACTAAGAGTAGAGCTTTTAGCAAGCTTGTAAGTTGTCATCAGAAATCTGAATATCACACAATGATGTAGAATAGCAGCAGAGAGGAAAATGAAAATACATCTGTCCCCAAACAAGGACAGATACGGGCAAGATATGTCAGTGGTGTTGAGTAAGTTTTTAAGATGTTAAGAGTTAGTGCACAACACATCAAATGGTACCAGTCTGATTTCAGAGAGACTACAGGTGAAGGCAGGATGAAGGAAATAGGGTGTGAGGAATTCTTCTTCCTTAAATTCATATGAATTTAATTTAGAAATTCTATTTTCCACATAGAAATAATCTTATTTGTGTATTGGTTTTTATCTTTTTTTAGGGTTTTGTTTGTTTGTTTGTTTTTTTCAGAAAGGAGTGACAGAAAGGAAAAAGAAGTACTGTAGAAGTCTCATCACAGAACACTCTGATAGAGACAAGTCCTCAGTATCATTATGTCATGGTACCACTGTGGTACTTTGCGAAGTGAAGAAACTCCAGAAGATCATCAAAAAATGGCACCCCCCTTCTCTCACTCTAGGTTTTCTTATACCATGTGTCATTGCCACTAAAGCAAAGAAAGGGAGCTTTAGCCTTTGTTTTGAGCAAGAGAGTGAGACTTTCCAATGCTTTCCCATTATTTCAGTAGTGAGCCCAAGAACTCTGTACCACTTAAGGCAATATATGTTTAAAAGATTACCTACATGGATTTACAGCTCACAGAAATTCACATAGCTGATACAGCAAAACAAATGATTTCTCAAAATTGCTAAAAATGTTGAGCATTCTTAAAATGACTAGAACTAGCTGGCAAGTTTATTACCTGACATACCTAACTGGTAGTTATGGGGGCTTGTTCATTTAAATTGGCTGCAGGAACTATTTTTTCTATTACAATTGTTTTTTAAAAAAATAGACCTTCTTTTACATCTGAAACAACACAGTAAATAGCATATCACAGATGACGAATTTGTGTTCAAAGTGGAAACTATTGTGACATGTCCATTTTGCTCTGTACCATTTTTATCTGTTTACATCCATTGAGATTTGGGGGGGTGGGCATTTTGGATTATATTTTATAAAACAGAACCAATGAGCGACAACCATATGTGATAGGATGAGCTGCTTCTTCTGGTGTCATAAGCCAGACTGATTCCCAGGGTATTTCTCATGGAGAAGTCCCTTTGCACAGCAATAGGCGTATTCCTCAAGGGTACCACTGCCACCTTTGTCTACGACAGAGGTATGCACCTTTGTTGCAATGGGTATTCAGCAGAGCAGCTGCGCTACCTCTAAGTTTTCCCACCTGAAATGCTAGACGGTTATGCCTGCAAAACCCATGCTGTATCACCTTCTGGTGCTGAGGACATTCTGAGATGAACAGAGGCAGCTTCTGGCCTGTGACTCACCGAGGCTGCTGGGGGGGCCGCCACTCTAGATGCCCTAGTGGGGAACCTGGGTTATTA